TCTCATTCCCGCCTCCTCGACCTGATACTATCTGTCCATCTCCTTCCCCACCTATTCAACCCACCCTTCCCACTGACAATCCCCACTACCCCTACCTGCATCCAACTATCCCCATCCCACCTACCTTCTCCCAGCCCCAATCCTCTTCTCTCTATTTATTTCCCAGCTCCCTTCCCCCTCCCCAGTCCTGATGAAGGGTCTAGGTCTGAAATGTTGACTCTCCGACTCCTCTGATGCTGCCTATACCGGCTGTGTTCCTCCAGCTCCACACTATCAACTTTTTCACACAGAAGGTGGTTCATATGCAGAATGAACTGCCAGAGGAAGTAGTAGATGCAGGTATAGTTACAACATTTAAAAGACATTTGGATAGGCACATAAACAGGAAGGGTTTAGTGGGAAATGGGCCAAATGCAGGCAAATGGGACTCGTTTACTTTGGGAAACTTAGTCAGCACAGATGAGTTGAACTGAAGGGTCTGTTTCCGTGCTATATAACTCTAATTTGTCTCTTGTAAAGTTCAACAAATAAAAAGGTGGGGGTAACCTTTTATTTTTGGCAGCTCCCCCTGACCTATGATCCTGAACTTTCCTCAACTGATCTGGAAGGGAGTGGTCAAGTCATAACGTTTCCTTGTGGGATAGTTCCTGAGATTAACAAAGATTTAGACAACAAGCTTTCAACGGAGTTGTTCAGCTCAGGACTGTCTGCCCTTCTTTCCCCATTTCCCCAAGCTATGTCTGCACCTGGGTCTCCTGGGAGATGTGGTGTCCACTATTATGACAATGTGGCCACTAGATGGATTGGGATGCATCATCACACCAGAATCCACATTTTCATTTCATTAAGCTTCCTTTAAATTGTTGGTAACTAACTGTTTGCACTCTTTGAAGGAGGCCACTTATTAATTCTCAGCACTGATAACAAATGGCCAGTGATATATGTAGATTTCCAGATGGTTTTTGACAAGATACCACACAGGAGGATGCTAAATAAGGGTCCATGGTGTTAGGGGAAAGGTAATGGCATGGATAGAGGATTGGATGGCTGGCAGAAGACAGTAAGTGGGGATAAAGGGGTCTTCTTCAGGATGACAGCCAGTGACTTGTGACGTTCCTCAGGGGTCAGTGTTGGGACCACAACTATTTAGGATACACATTAACAATCTGGGCAAAGAAACTGAAGGCATTGTTGCTAATTTTGCAGATGACACAAAAGCAGGTAGAAAGACTGGTAGTGTTGAGGAAGTGAGGAGTCTACAGAAGGGCATGGACAGGAGAGTGGGTAAAGAAGGGCAAGCTGGAATTCAATGTGGGGAAGTGGGAGGTTATGCACTTTGGTAGGTAGAAGAGAGGTGTAGACTATTTTTCAAATGGGGAAAAGCTTCAGAAATCTGAATCACAAAAGGGCTTACGAGTCCCTGTTGTGAATTTTCTTAAGGTTAGCAAACAGGTTCAGTTGGAGTTAAGAAGGCAAATGCAGTGTTAGCATTCATTTCAAGACGGCGAGAATACAAGGGCAGGGATGTACTACAGAGGCTGCACAAGGCCCTAATCAGATCACATTTGGAATATTAAGTGTGGTTTTGGGCCCTGTATCTGTAACATTGTACTCTGCACTCCTTTCTACTACCTGATGCACTTTGTATGGTACGATCTGCCTGTAGAATACACAAAACAACACTTTTCACTGTTATCTCAGTACATGTGAGAACAATAAATCAAATCAAATCAAATCAAATCTATGGAAGGATATGGTGGGGTGGGGTGGGGTTGCAGAGAAGATTCACAAGAATGATCCTGGGGATAAAGGACTTGTCATATGAGAAGCAGACGATGATTCTGAATCTGCACTTGATAGAATTTAGGAGGATGATGAGGGATCTGATTGAAACTTACAGGATACTGAGAGGACTGGATGGAGTGGATGTGGAGAAAATGTTTTCACTAGTAGGAGAGACTAGGACCTGAGGCCACAACCTCAGAGTGAAGGGACAACCCTTTAGAACTGAGATGAAGAGGAATTTCTTCAACTAGAGGGTACTGAATCTGTGGATCTCATTGACATAGACGGCTGTGGAGGACAAGTCATTGAGTCTATTTAAGACAGAGATGGATAGGTTCTTTATTAGTAAGGGGATCAAAGGTTACAGGGAGAAGGCAGGAGAATGGGGTTGATCAAAAGTGATGCAGACTCAATAGGCTGGTCTAATTCTGCTCCTCCATCTTAAGCAGCCATTCAAGTGGCAAGTAACAACAGTTTACAAAAAAATGTCTAAACTTGTGGAAATCTTACACCAGGTCAGAATAGCTCATCACTTGTGTAGAAATTCCAGGAAATTACAGAATGAATGACTTGTGCAATTATTTCGCCCACACTGTAATTTCCTTGGACTTTTGCAAACAGTCCAGAGACACTGACCAAAAGCTAGAGCAGCTAATTATCACAGCTCAACTCCCATGGAACTGAACAGCCAGATCAGATTTGCTGAATTAATGCCACTGTAATTAATACACTCAAGATTGTGACAGACTAGCTCTGGAGGATTCAACCAGTCTTCAGTTACTTAGCAGCTTAACAGTATGATATTTTTTATAGACTTGCTTCAGAAACTTCATTTAAGTCTTGAACCTCTAAGTAGTAAATACAAACATTGCTGGAAATACTCAGCAAGTCAGGCAGCATTTGTGGAGACAGAAACATCTAATGTTTCAGGTTGACTTGAAAGGTTGATTCTCCCCAAGATGCTGCTTGACGTGCTAAGTATTTCCAGCATATATTTGTTTTCATTTCAGATTTTCAGCAATGTTTTGTTCCTTAAGTGTTTCCCCCAACTGCTATATTATTTTCTACATTATAATTTACAAATAGTCATTCAGTAATACAGAATTTGAGCACTGCTGAAAAGAATAAACATTTTGCCAAAGCTTTTCACCATTAACAGGATTCTGCCTCAATTTAAAAAGACCTTCAAATTAATAACGTGATATATGAACTTCAATGCTAGGTTAGAAGGCTGAATTGAAAGACTTCTGAATTGCATCAAACAGCATGTCCCTTCAGTTGTTTGCAACAAGCAAGGTACTGCCCACATCCAATCAGCCCCCGCTTCTAAACCTTACGACAGTGTGTAACATTAAATGTGAACTGCAACTGGACAATGTTTACACGATAATCCTGAATGTGCAAGGAATTATGCTAGTGGCCAACTTAAGATGGTCAGTGGGGTTTTCACTGTGATGCACTTGCATGTATGTACTGGAAGCTTTGTACACTAATACACAATGCAGACAGAAAATCCATGTACATGCACTGCACCTGTACTGGCTGAAGTTACCATGAAGGACTCACCTCAATGTCTTTCCTGAGATGTGGTGTACTTCAAGTTATACCACCACAACTCTCCTCTGTTTAATAAAAGAGAGGAGTGCTTTGGTCCAGTAGGACTACAGCGACTTTATCTTTTCCTTCATACCAGTGTCAAGAGCTGTTGTTGCTCCTGCTCTACTACTATGCTCACTAATACTAAGGAATCTTACAATAATAAATTCAGTATTGGCAGGTCATTCCACCAGGTCTACTTTTCCAGCCCATCTCCTCTTCTCCCACCTCCATTCTGCCTCACTGCCATCCCTGCTCCACTTCTCCCAACCTTCTCTGCCTCCATTTCTCCTGCTTTGCTTCCCTTCCTGCTCCAATTCTCCCTTCCCTTCCACTTCCCCTCTCCTCACCTCTTTCTCTCTTCCCTCTATCCCTCCACTGAACAATCCCATCTCTAAGTTACTTCCCCACCTCTCCTCTCCAACACCCCATTCCCGAGTCACTGTTGTTCGTCATTTATATAAACAATGTGGATGAGAGTATAGGAGGCATGGTTATTAAGTTTTGTGGATGACACCAAAATTGGTGGTATAGTGGACAGTGAAGAAGGTTATCTAAAAGTACAAAAGGATCTTGACCAACTGGGCCAAGGAACTGCAGATAAAGTTTAATTTAGATGAATGAGAAGTGCTGCATTTTGGTAAGACAAACCAGGGCAGAAACCTAGGGGTGCAGGTACATTGTTCCTTGGAAGTGACATCACAGATAGACAGGATGGTGAAGGCAGCATTTGGCACACTTGCCTTCATCGGTCAGAACACTCAGTACAGGAGGTGGAGCGTTCGTGTTACGGCTGTACAAGTCACTGGTAAGACCACATTTGGAGTACTGTGTGCAATTCTGGTCACCCAGTTTTAAGGATGTTTTTAAAGTGGAAAGGGTGTAAAAACAATTTATAAGGATGTTACCGAGACTACAGGGTTTGAGTTATAAGGAGAGGCTGAGACTTTTTTTTTAACCTGGAATGTAGGAGACTGAGGTATGACCTTATAAAAGTTTATAAAACCATTAGGGGCATAGATAAGGTGAATAGCCAAGGTCTTTTCCCAGGGTAGGTTCAAGGTGAGACGAAAGATTTAAAAGAGACCTAAGACAACTTACTCACACAGAGTGTGCTGGTGTATGGAATGAGCTGCCAGAGGAAGTGGTAGAGATGAGAAGAATTGTCAACATTTAAAAGTCTTTTGAACATGTACATGGACAAGAAAGGTTTAGAGGAACATCTGCCAAACACAGGCAAATGGGACTAGTTCAGTTTGGGAAACCTGGTCAGCACAGACAAGGTGGACAGAAGGCTAAGCTTCTGTGCTGTGTCACTCTACTACTCTCTCCATCACACCCCCATTCCTCCACCCACCCCCTTACTGCCATCACCCCATTTCCCCACCCACCCCTCTCCTCTATTCCCCCCTCTCCCCCAATTCCCTTCTTTCCCTCTTCTCCATTCCCCTTCCTTCCCTCTCCCCCAATTCCCCTCCTCCCCTCTGCCCCAATTCACCCTCCTCCATTCCCCCTCCTCCCCTCTCCCCCAATTCCCCCTCTTTCCCTCTCATTTTCCCCTCACCCTCAGGGTTTTACCCCACACTAACCGACTGCAGTTGGGCCTCAGCCGCACTCACCGAACTCTGGAGAGTTCCCCCTTCCTGCAGCTGGTGAATAACTCGCTCGTGTCCATCTCTCTCCTTCGCTGAAGTTGGGAATCGATGCATCGACTCCGTCACTCCGGAGCCCAGTGTAGTTTTATTATTTATTATTTAAAGCTCAGTCAGTGAGCTGCCCTCGATAGGTGGTGTTTACGACCGTTTCGAATGTAAACACGGCCGACTGCTGTAACCACGCCTGCGCACTCTGTCCATCAGTGCGCCGCCTGCCGCCCGGGAGGAGGAACAGATCCTCCCGCCCTTCTAAAAACTGCCCATCAGAGCGTCGCCTGCTGCTCGGGAGGAGGAACAAATTCTCCCACCCTTGTACAAATTGCCCATCAGAGCGTCGCCTGCTGCTCGGGAGGAGGAACAGATCCTCCCGCCATTGTACAAACTGCCCGTCAGTGCGCCGGCTGCCGCCCGGGAGGAGGT